GAGAGAGAGAGAGAGAGAGAGAGAGAGAGAGAGAGAGAGAGAGAGAGGATAGACAGCTACTAGATAATTTTTCTTATACAATTGCTAGGAAAACATTACTATCTAGTAGCTAGCTATGATTTTCTACGTCATGACTGTGTAACATTTTATGTCTAGCTATTAGCTAATTTTTCTTGTACACTACTGGGAGAAGTGAGCGTTACATTACTAGCTAGTAGCTAGCTATGATGTTCTACGTCGTAACTATGTAACATTTTATATCTAGCTATTAGCTAATTTTTCTTGTACAGCTACTGGGAGAAATGAGCGTTACATTATTAGCTAGTAGCCAGCTATGATTTTCTATGCCATAACTGTGTAACATATTTTGTCTAGCTACTAGCTAATTTTTCTTGTACAGCTGCTAGGAGTAATGAGCATTACATAACTATAGCCAGAAATACTAGACGACAGTTATTTAAGACACAGTTTTTCTATCTAATGGTTAGCTAGCCATGAGATTCAATTTCTGCTCGGGTATTATTGCACAGATCTTTTTATAAATAATGATTATGTGTATCTATTTGCGCATCAAATTTTTTAAGAAATTAAACTTAGATTAATTCTCGTTATACATAATTACGTCAATTCATTGGAGACATTAAAAGTTGTCAGACAATTAAACGCGAACTGTCTCGTACTGTTTCGAACTGTACGAACGACAGGACAACGTCGCGGAAATCGATTTATTACTTTAGATAATTAAGTATCGGATAACTGTACAACTTGCAGGCGCACATTAGCGTCAAAAAGCATAATTGAAGGCTTCTTGGAAGCGTATACTATTTTCTATATATTGTAGCCAGTATAGTCTCGGCGGAGATAGTCATCAATTTTCATTGAGAACAGAAACTATAGAATACCTTTTGGTATGTAAAATACTTTTAGTTGGATAGATCCAAATCTTCGAAGTAAAAAGTTAATGTAACATGAGATCTTTATAATTATTATTGTTATAACATCAATTATTTAAAATGCAGAGAAGAATTACTCAATAAATCAGTTTCATCTTTTCCATGTTATTAATTCATATAATTAATTATTAATAATTTTTCACTTTTTTCGAATAATATAAGTATAACAAAAATAGCGAATAAGAAATCAATTATTTCTTGTAATTATTTATTATTTTCTGTAACAGACTATCTGTTAGGGAAATTGTAAAGAATACAATTTTGCTGGATTATTTTGTACATGGATAACACGTGTAGAACAACATGAAAATGTCAAACTATATGTCAATAGGCACACATCGATATGCCGCGTTTTTTATATAAACAATTTTCATATAAATTCCGTTCATAAACTTCTAGTAACATAGGGTAAGTCGGGGGAATACGCCAATTGGGGGAATATGCCACTCGTTGTGTTTAACAATGATACCGATTAGCAGCGCTTGCGTTAATGACACGGTATTATGTACAATTGTGTGCTTAACGTGTTGCATAAGTATCAAGAATTTCCTTGCAACAGTATTGTTTTTATGAGGTAAATATGACGGCATGGTATACGAAAATGTGCTGCTTATAACTTTTATAGTGCTTTATATAAGTTATTATTTAAACATTACACAATATTTAGCTCGATTAGCTTGTTAATCTATTAGAGTAGGTTAAAATGAAAATATTCAGTACATCGTTGATTCATTTTCTTAACAGTCGTACTGTACAGGCTCATCATAAGATGAAATGACGTCTCGGGGCAATATGCCCCTACTTTTGTTGAGGTAAAGTGCCAGCAGTCATTTTCTCTAATATATAGGTATATATACACATATATATACATACATATATATACATATATATAGGGTAAAATCAGGGATTATGGCATAGGCTACTAATATGGAATAGTGGCTTATTTTTTTAAACAAAGCATTGCAATCTGGCGGCAATCGCTGAAAGTTATTGCAACTGTTACCAAACATGTCATAACAAGCAATGAACTCGGTCCGACCAACCGTTTTGCTACAATTAACATTTATTTATTTTCGTTACGTCAGGAGATTTTAGGTTATGTTCATTTTAGCGGCTTATTTGCGTTAAGGTTATAAATTATTCTTATAGATTATTCTTATAGAATCAATTGTATTATGTATTACAAATTTGGACTTCGTTTATTGTATTATATTATTTATTACTATGGTCAAAATATTTCATCGGTATTCCATATCCCATATTTTAGACCCCCCTATTTTCTCACTTTTGACTTTTTTGTTAATATTGACGTTGAACTTAAATTTTAGCGACCTTCATTTATTGGATGTTGTAGCTAACATATTCCTCAAGAGTTCTGTGTAAATTTAAAGTCTTCATATGCATTTATATCGGAGCAATGTTAATTTAAAAA